AATCTGCCGATCGCAAGACGCTGCAAGCGTGGCGGCTCGCTGCAAGTCGTAGTCAGTCGCTACCGCCTGGTCCAAGAGTTTGCAGATCTGTTCATCAGCGTCTCCGCGCCGCGCAGCTTCCAAGCAAGCCACTTCGAACTTCTGCTGCTTCATTCGCTTGATCTGTTTAGTAGTTGGCCCGAACGATGTACCGCTTCCAATGTCCCCCGCCCGCCGCCGATGCGCAGCAGCCGCGCCGTCGGTGATGCACTTCTGGAGGAGCTCGCTGCCGACGGTGTCCTTGAGAGCACGGTACAGCACTGCCACGCTACGCAAGTCGTGGCTCTTCTGCGTGCGCACGAAACACCTCCAAGCACCGCCGCCGCCGCCCCGAGGACCGCTGCTGGAGGCGCCATTCCCGCCGTCGTCCTGATCGCCATCGCCGTCGGGAGGATCTCTATACAACTCACGCGCCTTATCACACCTGCACTGCTGCTGAACCCAATCGCTGTTCAACGAAACCAAGTCGGCCTTCCGTGATTGAACGCGCTTCTTCACAATGCGCCTGAAGTTGCCGTTGTCATTCTCCCTCGCAGTGGTGGTAATCTTGATGGCAATGAGGTGCAACGCGATCTTGAGCCTGGCCTCGAAAGATGACAAATCATTATGCTTCATGAAAGTGCGGCTCCACTTATCAAGTCCACAGGGCCTGAAGTCTTTGATCGATTCTGCCAAGTCGGGTTGCTCGGCCACAAGCAGCAGGCGCCAGGGGGGAAGCGAGTGCGGCTTGGCCATGAGTCTTTCAATCTGCGCTCCAGCCCGAGACATTGAAAGGAATGCCGTGGCAGAGAGTATCACCGTAACCTCGGCACTGGGAACCAAGCACCAGACCCGCGTGTCAAACATCAGCGTCCTGAGTTGCCTGAAAGCTTTTCCCTCTATCGCACCGCGGGCCCTGACCAGAGCGGCGTAATCCCTCAACAGCTCCCCAGGCCTGGCCACGCCGTCCTGGATTCGCTTTGCTGCGGCTGCCTGCTGCTGCCGCTCATACTTGTCGGATGCAATGTAGAGGTTCCCCTTCTCAACGCGGCCAGTCACAGCGTAGACCATGCGGAGTACCACGCACACGCCAGTTGGCTTGAAGCCATCACAGCCCTCCAAGAACCTCAAGCCAACTTTCCGACTGTACGCGTTTTGTTGAGCCCACGTCCCATCTGCAAAGCCGCCAGACTCCACTGGAACGTGGGCAGCGGGCCCGCCTGGCTCAGCGCCTGCAGCGACGATCGAGTACTCGTCGGGCCGACCGCTCGTCGAAGATTTACTTGATTTCTCGATCTTCTTCATCCGAGCACAACACTCGATGTAAGCTGCTTTCAGTGCGCCACAACACAATAGCGGAAGGGTGAAATCGCACAAAGCCTCCTCGCCACGAGCCATCTTCTCACGATTGAATATTGGCCAAACCTTGTTGGTGAACGCCTCGGTGAGCCCATGGGCAACGCGGGCCTTCACAAGTTCTTCGGCTTCGGCCGACCCAAGGGGCACCCATGCAACAATCCTGTCGTTGTCCCAACAGCACGGGGCCAGCCTCTCACACAGCATGCGCCTCACAGACGCTCGAGACCCGACGCGGATAAAGTATCGTAGAATAAGCCGACGGTGCGCAGCATCAACATCGTCACACACGCCATGCTTAACATCAACCATGCCCTCAATGACGTCACGCATCGACTCTGTGAACTGCGTGCGGAAGGTGGTGTGCTGGAGCGACAAACTGACGTGCGTGATCGCAGAGGCAGCGGCGCTCAACTCGGTCGGAAATATGGCAGCATTGGAAATGGTAACTGCCTTATGCTGGGAGCACGTCGACAGGAAAGTTGGCCAACGAGAGTGCTGGCGCAAACGACGACGCTGCAATCGCCTCTCGCTCTGAAGATTCGACGGGTGCCTGTCAACATGTACGCATCTAGATGCATCTTGTGCCAATGCCTCCAACGAAGACGAACATTGAGAAACCTCCAGGGCCGCCATCAAGTCGCTAGTGCTGTTCGACCTCAGCGCTTGTGCAATCGAAACGTGGGAGCCTAAGATCATGAAATACTTCGGGTTGTCACCATTCGCATCTACCCTCTTAGCGAGAATCTCGTATGCGTTCGCCGTGATGAGAACTTTAGTGCTCGTCGCTGCCTTGGCTTTTTTGAACTTCTGCTCAAGATGGCGCATGGCAACTTGTGTTTCCGTGCTCCGTGCTGGTCCTGCAACAATCGACAATTCGGACCCGCCGCCAGCCACCTCAGCTGGCGTCTCATCGTACCCAACATCATCAATTATCTGCAAAACCTCGGATCGTGGATCTCGAACGAGCTCCTGCATGATAACTCTCCTCCACCAACGGTCGAACAACCAAACTGCAGATGTGAACGTCTTGAGGGACGCCGTCAATGACTTCCTGCTCACGCCAAGGTTATCAGCCTGCGCCGTCCGAGTCATATTCGTCCGGCCTGCAGACACAGTCAAAAAAGATCGTGCCACGTCAGTTAGCTCACCCATCTCATCACTCGCTGGCTCAACCTCTCGCTTGGCCAACACCATGCCACCAACACAATCAATAAGAGGGCTTGGCATCAACATTCCATATCTCTTGCCAATCTGTTGCGCAACAACTTTTGAAACATTGAACTTCTGCTCGTGAACTCGGGCGGCATCCGCCTCCTCTCGACGCCGTCGTTTAGCATCGATTGCAGCTCGCTGGGCAACACGTATATCACCTCTGGGCCGTTTCTCCATATGTGTGTAAGCCGTAAGCTTACAATGTTTGAGCCAAAACGGTTGCGGATGAAGTGAAGAATAAATCGTGAACACCAGCTGAATGTATTTCAAATGCCTTCGGGTCATCGTGCGAATGCCGAATGTTGACTTTCTCATATGCAAATCTTCGTGGATGACCTACTGTTGCCCACGAGCACGGATGGGGGCACCAAGGGGCATCGAAGACTGAACGGACAACGTTTTTTTCCCAAACAATGCTTGCACTTGGAGGTTTTTTGGTTTGTATTCTAAGGACCTGGGCCTGGTTGTCGATCAGACTGCTATGTTGCCGCCGTTATCGTCGGTCGTCGGTCGTCGGTCGTCGGTCGTCGGTTGTCGGTCGTGAGTTTTCGGTCGTCGGTCGTCGGTCGTCGGTCGTCAGTCGTTCGTCGTCGGTCGTCGTCGTCGTCGTCGTCGGCGTCCTTGTCGTCGCCGCCGCCGTCGTCGTCGTCGTCGGCGTCGTCGTCGTCGGTCGTGAGGGTCGATTGTGGGTCGTCGTCGTCGTCGCCGTAGTCGTCGTCGTCGGTCGGTCGGTCGGCGTGTCGCCGACAAGATAGACGGATCCACATAAACTTGCCCACAGAGATCTCACCCCATAGATCGCACCGCGTAAATTGCACCGCATGGCAAGAAACAACTGTATTCCACGCCAAATACTGCGCCATATAGACTGCGCCACATAGATTGCACCACATAAGCTGCACCACGCAGATTGCACCACATAGATTGCACAGAGCAGGGTGCACCACATAGGTTGGTACCACATAGATTGCATCAAATTGTTTGAACCAGACAGCCCGCTAGAACTCCATCTCTTGCACCACATAGATTGCACCACAGCGGTTGTACCAGATTGGTTGCACCACGTAGGTTGCCCATGCTTGATACACACATGCGACGTACACACACACTCTACTTAAGCTGTCGTAACAAGTGCTGGTGGCGCCATGCCCACCACCTTGAATGGCCGAACTCATCCGCGCATTGCATAGACCCACACATATAACCATAAACGAAAAAACACACGACCTTTTTTTGACCTTTTTTTTTAAGTACCCAAAAACACACAAACCTTTGCTATGACCTTTAAACGCTATATCCATGATCTACAGAGTGTGGCGGTCTCGCCCGACTCGGATCTAACAATTGATCTCCCTGTCGATATCATCATCAATCTTACGATCGATCTCACTATCGATCTCACTATCTTGCGATCGGTTATCACTATGGGTCCCATTACCAATCATCCTATCAATCTCACGGTCGATCTCCTCGATCGATCTCACAATCAATCTCACAATCAATCTCACTGTCGGTCTCACTCTATCGAACAGACTACCGATCTCCCTATCAATCGCACTGTCAATTTCACTCAGTCGATCTCACTATCGATCTCAGTCTCAATCTCTCGGTCGATCTCACTATTGATCTCACAGTCGGTCTGATGATCCGTCTCACTACCAATATCACTATGTTCCTCAATATCGATCTTACGATCGATCTCCCTATCGCTCTCACTATCGATCTTACTATCGATCTCACTATCGACCTCGCTATAGACCGCACTATCGATCTCACTATCAAACTCAATATCGATCTTAAGATAGGTCCCACCATCAATCTCACTACGGGACACCGGCGGGACTTCAGGTGGACACCCACGAGACACCCCTGGCCACCGCTGGCCAACCGGGGAAGAAAGGCGGTCGTTTAGCCCGGCGGCAGAGGAGGGCTCATCCCTCTCGCCCGCCCAAGCAGCCTCGGCTCGCCGCTCGCGCGACCGATTCCCGGAGGGGGGCTCGCCGTTTCGCTGCGGTCTCACCCTCTCCCCTCCGATCAACTGTAAGCGAGATCAATGGTAAGGTCGACTGCGAGATCGATAGATCGTGACATCGAACGTGCGATCGAAGGTGCGAAAGACTGTGAACTAGATTGGGAGATCGATGGCGAGATCGAAAATAAGACCGATTGGTTGTGGGATCGATGGGTTGTCCGCCGAGGTCTCCGGGGGAAGGGGCGACGCCGCGGAGCGTGAGCGAGTGCTGTCGTTGCCACAACGATCGGGGTCGGCGGACGGATCGACGAAGAGGGCCACACAAATAGTAGATCACCCACCGGGGCAGGATAGCAATGAACGTGATAGAGGGGCGCCACACCATACTGTCCTTCCTCGTTCCTTTCTGCACACTCCGTGCGTCTCTTAAGAAGCGGTCCTCCGCGATCTTCGCATACTTGATCACTTGGCTGCGCGTGATCATGCCCTGAAAATCACCCCTGTCGTCGACCACGCAGACAACCTGCACCCAGGCCCTGATTGATATCGTCACTTGCGGCCCCATCGCCCCTCAATTTATCTGAACCCCCATCTGCGCTTGACTTGACGACCGCTTCTCACAGATATACTGCTGGAGCTGTGCACCCACACATGCTGGAGGCCTCGCCTGCTCCTGACTCTCAATGGACGTATTGCCTGTTCTCGCCCTGTGTGTACCACCACCTCAAGCCTTGGAGGCTCACCGATGCTAGCCCCTGCGTCAGTACAACTGTGGACCCGCGCTGCCGACACTTCGATCCCTAATTGCTAACTGGGGTGCGCGACTCCGAGGACACGATGCACGATTTGTTGAACAAAAGATAAAGGCTCCGCGCTCCTACAACAATCACCCATCGGAAAACAAAAGCACGCGTTCCCGAGTCCGCGGCCGATCATAAAAGAAAACCGCGTCTGTGCTCACAAAGCCACTGCCCTCGCACAGAAAAACTATGGACCCGCACCTCTGAGGCCACGATCCATCGTAGCGCAAATATACGCGGGTCGGAAACCGAGATCCCTGGAACACATATGGACACGTGATCCCGAAGCCGCGGTCCCTCACTTCGTGTGTCAAATGGCCCCGTACTTCCGAAACCGCAACACCTAGTGAAAGCAGATGCGTCCACGCTCCAGAGGCCGCGATCCCTCGTGAACAAGCCTGGCTCCGCGCACAACTCCACGGCCCCTCGCAACGAACAACTATGGAACCGCGCCCCCGAGGCCCAGCTGCCGGGGAAGAAGCCATGGGACAACGCCCCCGAAGCCACGTCCGTCTGAAACATCACACGAAGGACCCCCGCTCTCGAGGCCTCAGTCCTTCTCGCACCAAGACGTATACATATGAGTCCAGATCCCCGGTAGCACGAACTCGGATCAAAAAATATGGACCCGCGCTCCCGAAGCCGCGATCCTCACAACAACAATATTTGATGGCGCTCCCACGGTCACGACCCATGACAAAAACGGGACCCGCGCTCCGAACCCGGCAACCGACAAGCGAAACACCCCAAGCAACCACACCGCCTGCTAATCAGCACCAGCCAGCACCAGCCAACCAGCCAACATGTCAGCCAGCCAGGCAACCAGTCAACCGACCTGCCAAGCCGACCAGCCGATTTCCTTGCCTGCTGACCAGGTAGCCAAACATACACCAATCCAACACGATCAACCAACCCAGCCATGCAAGCCATCTGGGCGCAGGCCAATGGCAAGTGGCGAACCCTTCAGATAACGCGTACATCTTATGAGTCCTCACCATTGCGGCTGACTGCCTGGAACAAACCTGCACAAATGCGGAAACAACACATAGTGGTACCGACAACAGCTACGAATCTGACGAAGGCAACGCGTCTGGCACCGCTCGCTCTGATTGTCTCTGATGCCGGCTTGGGGAACTGGCAGAGTGAGACACCTCTCAGTGCAGCCAACCCTGGCAAACAATTGCTCGACGCGGGGCCCCCAATATGTGCATCTCCTTCTCTTGGTACGTCTTTCTCTTGATATCTGTCAATGAGCGCCTGTATGCGAGGGCGAACCGCTCGCTCGAGACATTCCCACAGTCTGCAAGCATGAGTGCGACCGATAGCAAATCTGAGAGCGACTGATTCTAGTGTGAGTTAATCTGGGTGCGATTGAGCCTGGGTTTGAGTGGGTATGCGTGTGAGTAGATATGAGCGCGAGTGCATCTGTGTGCGAGTGGGTCTGAGTATGGACGAATCTGAGTGTGAGCCAGTCTGTGATTGAGCGGATCGTAGCATGATGAGTCTGAGCATGAGTGAGTCTGGGCTTGAGTGGGTCTGAGTGTGAGAAAAAGTGTGTTAATGAATATGAGTACGAGTGAGCCGAGTGTGATTGGGTATGGATGTGAGGCAGTCTGAGTGTGAGTCGGTCTGCGTTTGAGCGGACCGAAGGATGACGAGTCTGAGCAGGAGCGAGTCTGAGTATGAGTGGTTCTGAGCGTGAGTGTGAGTGTGAGTAAGTTTAAGTATGGGTATGAGCGAGTCTAAGTACGAGTGAGCCTGCGTGTGACTGAGTCTGAGTATGAGTGAGTATGAATGCAGAAGAGTGATGGAGAGCGGAGAACGAAGGAGAGTGAGGCGGAAGCGTTTGAGTAAAACCTAAAGCTTTGGAACATCGAACCTCGATCGTCTGGCCCTGGCTACTCGAGTTGCCCACGTCCTCCTCCTCCTCCTCCTCCTCCTCCTCCTCCTCATCATCATCATCATCATCATCATCATCATCATCATCATCATCATCATCATCATCATCATCATCATCATCATCATCATCATCATCATCATCATCATCATCATCATCATCATCATCATCATCATCCCCTTCCTGCTTCTGCTCCTACCGTGTTCATGCTGTCCTCCTTCTCCTCCTCCTCCTCCTCGTCCTCTTCCTCCTCCTCCTCGCTTCCTCCTTCTCTTCCTCCTCCTCCTCCTCTTCCTCCTCCTCCTCCTCCTCCTCCTCCTTGGGAGTGCTGAAACCAGCAAATCGCCTGAGACATCCTCCCAAAACTGCTCCGAAAACGACAGATGCCCAGCATCATAACGGCCAAACCGCCTGAGACATCCCCGCAAACTGGGCGCGAACGTCCTCCAAATCTGCTCCGAAAGCGAAACATGTTGGAAGAGAAAATGGCCAAACCGCCTGAGACATCCCCAGAAAATCCCGCGAAAGGGGCCGAGTGAGATACCCCCCCGCCGCCCCCCTTAGAGTGCTGAAACCAGCGAATCGCCTGAGACATCCTCCAGATCTGCTCCGAAAGCGAAACATGTTGGAAGAGAAAATGGCCAAACCGCCTGAGACATCCCCACAAAATCCCGCGAAAGGGGCCGAGTGCAACACCCCCCCGCCGCCCCCCTTAGAGTGCTGAAACCAGCGAATCGCCTGAGACATCCTCCAAATCTGCTCCGAAAGCGAAACATGTTGGAAGAGAAAATGGCCAAACCGCCTGAGACATCCCCGCAAAATCCCGCGAAAGGGGCCGAGTGCAACACCCCCCCGCCGCCCCCCGTAGAGTTCTGAAACCAGCGAATCGCCTGAGACATCCTCCAAATCTGCTCCGAAAGCGAAACATGTTGGAAGAGAAAATGGCCAAACCGCCTGAGACATCCCCACAAAATCCCGCGAAGGGGGCCGAGTGCAACACCCCCCCGCCGCTCTCCTTCGGAGTGCTGAAGCCACAGAATCGCCTGAAACATCCTCAACATCGGTGTGTGTGTGTCATCCGATGGGTGGACCTGAGTGAGTGTAGTGAATGTATGAGTACAAGTACTAGTGAGTCTGAGTGACGAGTGAGCCTGAGTGATGAGTGAGTCTGAGTGATGAGTGAGTCGGAGAGATGAGTCTGAGTCATGCCTGAGTCCGAGTGATGAGTGAGTCTGAGTGATGAGTGAGTCTGAGTGATGAGTGGGTCTGAGTGATGCGTGAGTCTGAGTGATGAGTGAGTCTGAGTGATGAGTGAGTCTGCGTGATGGGTGAGTCTGAGTGGGTCTGAGTGAGAGGAGTGGTGTGTTCTCGTCTGTGTTCTCCTCTGGCGCGGTCCGCCAATAACACCCATACTTAGGATATGGGGAAAAACACCCTTATGCAGAAGATCGTAAGCCCGGGCCGACGCCCACGTCACCAGGGTTACGCCACTGAGCCCTTTCCCGTGCGCTCTCCCCCCCCCACTCCTCCGACCCTCTCACCTTCCCAATCTCCACTGCCACCTGCGCCCTCCCTCTGATTATGTTCTCTAGGGCCCCTCGACCATGCAAGGCAAGGCTTGGGTCTGGGCTGGTTCGGCAGGCATCAGGTCGGAGTCTCACGACCATTGTTGAACTTCTGTGGTTTGCGGCTGGGCGAAGCAATCCTTAGGGACAAACTGAGAATCTCAGGCCCATGGGACACACATGGGAATCAAAGGCAAAGGGAAGACACGCCCATCTCCCTCCACGGCTCCCCAGCAATCCTGCCCTGCACACTGAGCCAACACGGATCACTGCTGCAGGCGGCGGCCTCGGCCCGAAGCTTCGAGAAGAGGGAGTAGAACTTCGTGGCGGGAGTTCTGTCGGGGATCGTGTAGGCCAGGTAGTCGATCCACCTTCGCGACTTTCGCGGCGGCACCCGCCCCCTGACCGCTTCGGGGCGCCGCCCCCCCGGTCGGCGCCGCCCCCAACGCATACCACATACACTGCCCGTGTGCCTCCTCTCATATATAGTCATTTCTCGGTTGCTCCTCATGCATACACGTAGACGTACGCATATGCATGTACATAAGCACATACATACATATATATCTAGTCATATATATATAGTCACACAAACGTACGTATCACTCTCTCTCGGTCTCTCTCTTTCTCTCTGGCTCAGTCTGTGTATCTCTCTCACTCTCGCCCTCCCCTCTCTCGAAGCATTTTACATGTCTGGCTACCCTTGCTCTCGGCATGTTTCTCAATTCGCACACGTTTTCATCAGTGAACCTCGCCCAATTCCTGTCTCCCCATGCCACTCCCAAGTTACCCACCTAGCCGCTCCCCATTCCTCGTGTCGAATTGCACTGAGCTCGCTGGCCCACAGGTCAACGGCTTGATCGACCGAACAGGGTCCGGGGTTCTGTGCCCATGCCCGCATCAGCTTCGCATGGTGAAACAATGCTACGCCCTGCGCGAACAAGCGGCTCTCGGACAGCCCCGCTGCCAGTGACCGCTTCCCTAACCCAAGACTGGACGGCCAATGTCGGCGGGTCCTGGGACACACCTCGAAGTCGCGCCTGCGCGCTGCTGCGACGGCCCAGCACCGCTCCCAAAATGGCCCAAGACTGCCCGAAGAGGGCTGCAAGACACAAGCTCGAGGGCCATGCTGCGAGACCGGAGTTTGCACAGATCCTCCGCCTGGGGAGCCGATTCCCCAGGGACCCCAAGGGCGGCAGCTATGGACAAGTTTGGCCCCGCGGCTTCCCCCCGCCATCTACGCGCGCGCTCAGGTTTTAGCAGAGTAGTGGACCACAAATGGTTTGAGCAGAAAGTGAAGAAAGGCCCATAACGCTGAACGCATTACGGGCAATGAGAAATCCATGCATCTCAATCCGCATCCCGGAAGGCTTTCGGGGAAGACGGTTGCGTAGGGGGCGGAGGCCTGATGAATCGGATTCCCAGAAGGCCTTCTGGGAACATGGGTTTGGGGGGCGTCTTGGGGAGCCTGTTGGGGCGTGCCGCCGTCGTCGTCGTGATGTCGTCGTCGCCTCTTGGGCCTCTTGGGGCGCGCCGTCGTCGTCATCGTCCTCGTCGTCGTCCTCGTCTTCGTCGTTTCGTCGTCGGTTCAAGAGGGCACTTGGGACAACTCTGTGCGAAACGATCCGCGGAGGGCCGCGAGAAGGCGATCAGTCATGTTCCCAGTCAACTTCCCAGACAGCTCTCCAGGAGCGCGATGGTACTTCGGAGCCTCCGGAGACTCTCGGGCCTATGATGAACCATGTCCCCGGAAGGCTTTCTGGGGACATGATTTGTTGGAGTGTGTTGGGAGGCCAGAAACCTCGAAACATCGGTTCGCGGTCGCCCTCTGGGCCCCCTCTTGGAGCACTCTTGGGGCGCACTTGGGTTGTCTGGGGAGCCTCCTGGGCCGTCTTGGGGCCCTCGGGCCTCGTGGGCCGTCTTGGAGCGATCTGAAGGGCCTCCGAGGCCGTGAGGGAGTGCTGGAAAGCGGGAAAAGCGAGAACGCCACAATCCTTGAAAAACCATCGGACAATCAATGAATTTTGCCTTTCAGGGCCCTCTTGGGGAGCCTCTTAAGTCCGTCCTGGAGCGTGTTGGAGTCCTCGTCGGCTGTCTTGAGGGTATCTTGGGCGTCTTCAGGACCTCTTGGGACCGTCTTGGGCCCTCTCGGAACCCCCTTAGACTCTCGTACCCTGTTCCGGGGAGGCCCCCGGCCGCCTCGGGAGCTCTGGAACCGCCCCACAAAACCCGGCGGGCACCCATGGGGGAAACAGACAGCGGCCCGCCCCCCCCGCCTCCTCCTCCTTCTCCTCTTCCTCTTCCTCCTCCTCCTCCTCCTCCCCCTCCTCCGCCTCCTCCTCCTCCTCCTCCTCCTCCGTCGCCCTCTCCGTCTCCTCCGCGCGGAAGTAATGCAACAACATCTCGCGCAAATCAACGTAGTGTGGCCCTCCCGGCCTTTTTGAATGTCCTTTTAGGGCCTTTTGGGGCCGTCCTGGGGCCCTCTTGGGCGTCCTGGGAACCCAGAAATCATGTTCCCGGAGAGGCTTCCGGGAACACGATTGGGGGCCTCCTGGGCCAACTTTGGGGCCTCTTGGGCCGTCTTGGGGGGTTCCGTGAGCCCCACAGGACGACCCTTTTGGGCCGTCTTGGGCCCTCGTGGGTCTCTCTTGAGCTGTCTTGGGGCTCCTCGGGGGCACTGGAGACGAAGCAAGCGAGTATACTGAAAATGCACGTCTTACGAAGGGAATGGGCCGATTGTTGTACCTCTTGAAGGCCCTCTTGGGGTCCTCTTCGGCCATCTTCAAGCCATCTCGGGCCCTCTTGGGGCGCTGTTGGGCGTCTTGGGACCCTCTTGTGCCTCGCTGAGGCTGTCTTGTGGGCCTCTTGGGCTGTCTTTGGGGCCTCATGGGCCGTCTTGGGCGGATTCGTGGACTCCACAGGACGCCCAGAGCTGCCATGGGCGGGTTTGTGGACCTCACACAGGACGCCTGGGGAGGCCATGCCAACCGCTGGCACCACCCCACCACCGGCCCCAGGCCTACTCCGATATATACATATATATATATATACACACATATGTATATATGTATATACATACATATATGCATGTGTGTGATCATATATAACATATACACATATACATATATGCATACAGATGTATGTGTTGGCCATATACCTATGCATACACGTATATGTAATATACACATGAATATAGACGTGTGTATATATATGTGTGAACATATACAAATATCCGTATACCTGTATCCATGTATCCATATCCACCGCCTCCCGAGTTCCAAGAAGATCATTTCCTCAGGCGGTGTCGGTGAATAGCTGTGTATGTTTGCATATAATCATATATGCACGTGTCTCCAAACATATATATATATATAGATATACATACATGCGTGTATGTATGTGTATATATCTATATATACGTACAGCGCTTGCGCTTCGTGAGGAGTTATCCCCTTCATGTGTCAAGTACTTGGTTGACAAGTTCTTGGTTTCGCCACGTTGCCGCTCGTGCCTACTCGTGGGCGCTCGTGGGCACCCCGTGTGCTGGCGGGCGGGCCGAGTTCGCGCCACGTTGCCAGCCCTGCCGCCTCGTGGGCACTCGTGGGCACCCCATGCGCTGGGGGGTTTCCCGAAGTTGCGCCACGACGTTGACGCCCGCGCCTCCTCGTGGGCGCTCGTGGGCCCCCGTGCGGTGGAGTGAGGCGGGTTGACAAGGTTGCGCCACGTGGCCAATCAAGCCGCCTCGTGGCCACTCGTGGGCGCCCCGTGCGCTGGGGGTGGGGTTGCCGAGGTTGCGCCACGACGATGCCGCCCGTGCCACCTCGTGGGCGCTCGTGGGCGCGCGCGCTAAGTTTTCATTGTGTAGCTCTCACGACATAACTCGCACGACTGAGCTTACACCACATGGCTTGCCCCGCATAGCTTGCACAGTGTAGCTGGTTCCACAGAGCTTCGATAACAGAGTCTCCACCTCCAGCTCACGCTGCAAAACTTGTCCGACACATGTTACACACTATAGCTGACAGCATGTGCCTTGGGCCACATAGTTGTCACCTCCAGCATACCTCACACGAAATATCTTACACAATCGCTTGCACCACATATCTTTCACCGCCATTGCCCACACCAGATAGAGTACATGACATAGCTTACACCCCGCGCCTTCGGAACACCAGGCAGGGTGCCGCCAGGCTTTCCCAATATGTCTCCTGCGGGCCCCTGCAAAGCCCCACAAGCGCCCATGAAATGTTCCAAACAAGCGCCGGGAAACGCCGCAAACTAAACATGCCGTGAGCGTCGAGCGTGTCTTCTCGCTCGCACGCATACATGGTATTTGTGCCAGTGCGACACGAGGGACTCGGTTCTGGCGTAAGACAGGGCATCGTTCTGGGAAGTCTGGCAGCAAGGAGGGAGTAGCCATTATGAAGTATGAGCTTCACAGTAGCATGGATGGGCAAAACCTTGGGGGGAATCTATTATATTTTACACGCTTCGCGTATCCCCACCAGCCCATTCTGAAGCCCTGCCCACGAGAGCTGACGGGAAACGGGGCAAATGGACACATGTAGGGAAACAAAGCGAACAACCAGCGTGAACCGAGAGATCTCTGGGAGCAAGGGGGTGGCTTTGGAAGGCCTCTTCGGGCCATCCCTGGGGGGCGCGTGGGGGCGAGGGGAAGAGGAGGAGGAGGAGGAGGAGGAGGAGGAGGAGGAGGAGGAAGACGAGGGGGACGAGGACGCGGATGAGGACAAGGACGAGTAGGACGAGGACTAGGATGAGGACGACGCGGACGAGGACTCATGGAACCATGTAGAGGTATTCTTGCGGCTGCTGCTGCTGCTGCTGCTGCTGCTGCTGGTGCTCTGTGAGATTTTGAGGGCCCTCTTGGAACCCTCTGAGTAACCCTGGAAGGCTTCTTGGGATCATCTTGGAGGCCATCGATTACAAGATGGGGGTGTCCCTAGCTCAACTCCCCCCTCAGGAGCCCGCAAACCGCCTCTTGGGGCTCTCTTGGAGCGTTCCCGGGAGCTCTTGGAGCGGTCTTGGGGCCGTTTGGAGCATCTTGGGAGCCATTCTGAGCCAACTTGGGCTATCTGAGCCATCTTGGAGGTCATCTTGGGCTCGCTGAGGCCGCTCGGGGGCCTCTTGGGGGCCTTTCGGGTGCCTCTTGGGACCCTCTTGGGACCCTCTTTGAGCCCTTGTGGGGCTCTCTTGGGAGCCCTGGAACGCCTCTTGGGGCCATTTTCGAGGCTATCGATCAAAGAGAGAGCGTGATCCACCGCCGCTTTACTGTGGAAAATTGCCAACCTTTTCCTCCGGAACCCGGGGGTCGCCCCCCCCCCCCCCTCCGAAAATCCCCCCCCCCTGCTGGAACCCCTCCCCCGCCCCCCCCACCCCCTTCCCCCGGCAAAACCCCCCCCCTCCCCTACCCCTCCCCTACCCCACCCCCCCCCTCCCCCTCGAAAACCGGGGGGGGTCACTACCGGTCGAACCCCTCACCCCCCCCCCCCCTCCGGATCCGGAAAAAACCGGGGGGGGTCACTACCGGTTCGAACCCCCCACCCCCCCCCCCCCCCCACTCACCGCCAGCAAACGACTCCCGGTCCCCACCACCGTCCGCATCACATCCCCCACTGGTGTTCCCAGCACCACTGTCCTCACCACCGCTGTCCCCACTGGTTCCACCACCGCCCCTACTGTCCCCACCAGTGGCCCCACCACTGTCGCACTGTCCCCGCTGTCCCCAGAACTGTTCCCACCACGGTTCCATTCTCCCCACTGTCTCCACGCCCCAACCACTGCCCGACTATCCCCACTGTCCCCACTGTCCCACTGACTCCTCCGCTGTCCCACTGAGCTGTCCCACTGTTCCCACCACTGTCCCCACTGTCCCCACCACTGTCCCCACTGTACCTCTGTCCCATTGTCCCACCGCCGTCCTCGCCACCGCCTTCACCACTGTCCCCACCACCATTGTACCCTCCACTGTCCCACTGTTTCCACCTCATTCCCATTGTCCCCACACCACTGTCCCCACCACCACCGTCACCACCACTGTCCACTGTCCCCCCCTGTTCCCACCATTGTCCCCACCACTGTCCCCACCACTACCGTCCCCACCACTGTCCCACTGTCCCACTGTCCCCACCACTGTCCCGCTATCCCCTCACCACTGTCCCCACCAACACCGTCCCCACCACTGTCCGCACCCCCACTCGGTTTTCGAGGGGGGGGGGGGGTTCGAACCGGTAGTGACCCCCCCCGGTTTTCCGGATTGGGGGGGGGGGGTGGGGGAGGGGTTCGAACCGGTAGTGACCCCCCCCCTTTTCATGATGAGCAGGGGGGGGGGGGGGGGGGGGGGGGGGGGGGGGGGGGGGGGGGGGGAGGGGTTCGAACCGGTAGTGACCCCCCCCGGTTTTCCGGAGGGGGGGGGGGGGGAGGGGGGGGGGGGGGGGGGGAGGGGTTCGAACCGGTAGTGACCCCCCCCGGTTTTCCGCCAGCAGCGGTAGAACACGCTCTTTCCGATCAAAGGAGGCGTTCTCCCGATCAAGGTCCCCCCCTCGGGGGCCACGATCCTCGTGAGGGGTGTCAAACATTTGCCCTCCCAGGGGCCGAAAAAGGGCCCTCCAACCACCCGCGACCGCCGCCGAAAAAGGCCAGGGGAGGGCGTAGGGGGAGGGGTAAACCCTTCCCCGAAGGGGAAGAGGGTTTTTGGAAGAGGAAAGCAAGAATCGCGTTAGACCACCTACGCCCAGAGGGCTGGTGGGATAAGAGAATGATTTTAAGACAGGCTCCGCCGTACTGGCGCCTCCCAGTGTCTACGAATGTCTCTATCTCCGCCTATTAGCGCCTATTGGCACCTGTTAGTGCTTGTCAGCGACTACTAGCGCCGACTAGCGACCACCCATAAGCAGTAGTGCAGCCAGCGTGGGCCCAAAACAGTATGGTCTAGTATGCTCTGCGATATGATATGTGCGATGCAGCCTACGCAACGCAATCAAAGAAACGCAAAGCAAAACATGCAGTGCCAAACAATGCGGGGCAACATCTGCAATGCAATCGATGCGGTGCAACCTGAAGTCGAACCTCGTTGGTTGCACCATGTTACCATATGCTGCGTTCTGCCCTTCTGTGTTATGCTATGCTGAGCTATGCTATGCTAAAACCAACTCGGCTATTCTACGTTGCGGCAAGCTGTGCTATGCTGCGCTCTCTGTTATGCCGTGCTGTGCGAGTAGACGAGTCCGAACGGACGACTGCGAAGCGCGGCGACGGACGGCCGAAACAGGCGGCGACGGGTGGCGACGAGCCGGCCGGATTTGTATTGGGGCCCGGTGCAAGTGGCGGCGACGGGCGGCGACGAGCCTGCCGGACCGGCACCTGGGCCCAATTACCTTATAACAGAAGTAAGATCCCCATAAGTGCAAGTACTGCTTAGGAAAAAAACGCCAGGGAAGACAACAACTCATGGCTTACATGACTCTCACGCATCACACACCAAATCGACTACTCACTTTCCCGTCAGTGCAGCAATTGTGCTCCGCAAGCTCCTATCTGAAGTCAACGCTGGCATATCTTAGTACCTCGTGCAATACGCCTGTTGTTGTTTCACGGTCCCAGTCACGGATACGCATGAACAAACACATCGCGCAACTCAATAATTACACTGCGCCATTCCCATACGAGCGCGCTTCGCAACAACTCGCGTGCTTTCAGTAAGTCTTGTCAGCCCCAACCTTTTCCCTGCGTGCATCCCCCTCATCTCCTCAGGCTCGCTGGGCAGACCGACACCTCCCTGGCGCTCTTCAAGGGGTCCGAGATGCCCAAGATGGCTGTCAAGACGGCAGAGGCAGGCCCCAAAGGCCGCCAAGATGACTAGAGATTGCCTCAAGAGCGACGTCACAGCTCCCCAAAACATCCCAAGGGAACACAAGAGCCCCCCTGGAGGCTTCCGAGACGCTCTCTAGAAAGCCTCGGCAGGCACATCACTTTGACTTGGCGTAAACTGGTTTCAATATTTTTTACGTTCCACGCTCTTCTGTCAAATCTAATTCCAATTTCGGGTTTCGACTGCCCGAAAACTCCCACTGAGCGCCCCAAGAGGGCGCCAAGACGGCCCAAGACAGACTTGAGAGTACCCCAAGCTGGCTCAGGAGAACCTCCCGAGGGAACCCAGACAACCCAAGAAGGCCCTAAAACAGCCCAAGCGGGCCACAAGACCGTCCCGCGACAGCCCAACGGCCCCCCCAGACGAACACAATTGCCCCAAGACGATCTTAGAGGGCCCGGGACGGTATAAGAGAGCTCCCAGACGACCGAAGAATGCCCCTCGGGAACCCCAAGACAGCAGAGCTCCTGACGAAGTGGCGACGCGAGGTGTCACAAATGACGGCAGTTGGGGATCTGTATGAAGGGCTGCCACACTTAGTGTTTCGCTGGCAGGGTGGCGGATTGGCCGCAGGCACCTGGATACGGGCCGACTGGTGGCAGACAAAGAAACATAGCTACGAAACAGCATGACAAACAAGCACGTGGGCTTCCCTCACCTGAATATTCCTCGCCCTGCTCCTGCTGCTGTTCGTCCCCGCTTCCCTCCTCGTTCTCGCTCCCTCCCTCCTCCTTCCACGCACCGGCCTCTTCCCTCTCCCTCCTCCTGATGTTCCCCTGCTCCCTCACGACTGGTCAGCAAACTGCGAGCGGGGGAGACGGAGCCAGCGAGCTCACCCGAATGCTCCTCGTGCCTGCCAGTGCCAGAACTATTGCGCCGCGTTGGCTGACAGGTGATGCACGCATTGCTGTGGGAGGCGCCGTGGGCGGAGCTGGTACGAAATGGACTCTTCGCGAGGAGTGCGCGAACACGCAAGCTGGCAATGACAGAAGACGTGAAGAAAAAATCAGATAAAAAGACATCTATCCTGTCAGGCTCTCGTTCGAATCCAAGTTCACCGACTTCCTGGGCGGCGCTGGGGAGACGAATATACACTGGTGGATGCTAAGACACGTGGGTTCAAATTAGCAATGCCCAATGCCTCTGGTGCAAAACTGAGCGAGAGCCAATGATGACGCGTTCCACGCCGTCATGTTGTAAGTCCAGACGTCCGAATCCCATAATTAGTCACCAAACCATGTGTGCCCCATGTCTGAACGAAGGCTGACACCAAGAGCCACACACTCTCAGGCGGCAGCCAGGCCATGCACTTATTTTGAACAACTTTTTATGGTGTGACAGCCAGGCTGGCCTTGGCACAAAGCTCAGTCCTACACGCGGATCCGCCCGTCAACCACACGGTCACCGAACGCATGAGAACCATGAGGATCCATTGTCACGACGGTGCACAGGCCACGGGCGGCAAGCAACCGAAATGCATCGACCATATTCCCATCTTGGTAATGCGATGCTGTGGGCTTACCATCCTGTGTATAGCGATTTCGCAGTGCTGTTTTCACTATCTGTTCAGAGAGTGATGTACTTCTTTGCTCACATACCAATATCATCAGGCAGAAACCACTCAATCGAAATCCGATCGTCCACATGCAACTGGAAGCACTTTTTGGAGGCAAACCCACTTGAGTTTGCCATGACCTGCCCTGATCAAGCGCTTACGATTCTCAGCGAAAAGCAATACTGGAGACGTCGAAACTAACTCCGCCAGTCAGTATTGAATCCTTGACCCACTGGGGGGCACGACCCTTCCTGGTCGCCCCTGGTCGCGTCACGATTCACGCAGGGCCAACCTGGGAGTGGGCCACATTCCGCAGCTGTCCCAGACGGTGCCAGCGCGCATCGTGACGTGAACGGCCCCCCTCACCTCCCTCCTCCCCCCCTCCTGGCCACACCCGCTGTCGCCAAGGGATAAGAAAAAAACGGCCTCCTGCTCTCGCCCGTCCTCTCTTCATCCGCGCCCCTTTCTCTCGTCCCCCTGCTGCGCCGGCCTGGGGCAGAGAGACGGTGCAACCCTTTGGCAGCCTCGTTGAGATAGACCCCCCGTCTACACATCACGGCGACAAAGCGAGTGAAGGCGCGGAGGCCGTCGTCGGGCGGCTTGCTCGCTTGACCTTGCAGGCGCGACACGGGGCCTCGTCCAGGCAGGTGCGCCACACGCAGATGCGCGAGCGCTGCCCGAGAGCAGAGGAGCCCTCCGAGGGGAGTGCAGGCGAGGCCCAGGACAGCATCGAACATCAGAGGGCACCCCAAATGGCATCGGGGGCCCTGCGGCCGCAGCGGGTGAGGAAAGACGAGCGGACAGGCGTCAAGTGATAAGATGCTGCCTCCGCCAGGTCGAGCGCCCGCTGCAGCCGCTTGCCAGTGGTGAATCCGTGGCAAATCCTGGCGTGAGACGCGCGATACTGAAAGCAGAGAAGGCGAGGAGAGGATTTGAGATCAGAGGAGAGGAAGCCAAAAACACAGATGTTGCGATGGATGAGAGAAGACACGGACGATAAGTGAGGAGACTGGAGAGGGGGGCACAGGGTACGAAGTGCAACGACCTTGGAGGAGAGAAAAACCATACACAAAACAACAGGATGGGGAAACGGCGAGGATGTACGCGGATGGGCGGTGACGCGGAAGGGAGGCGCCCGGCGCGAGGAGAGGACGGGGAATCAGAGAGGAGGGACACACTGGACGGGGACTGATATGGTATGTTTTCCTGACCCCATCCGCTTGCGCACTCTGCTCCACAAATGCCGCACAAGAAATCATGAAATAGTAAGGCATTCCATATTCCCACGAGGACCAAAACCATGTGACGACGCTAGAAATCCACGGGTGCCGCGAAGTCGACCAAGCCTCTGGAGGACATCCTGGTGTGCGAACCCATCTCTGACAGGAAGGGGCCCACAAAACCATCCATCACTAAGAGTGCCTGGGGATCTCGCGTACTCATCAGAGAACCACTCCGCTGAAACGATCATGCAGATCCAATCCCACGCCGAATCATGGAGGTGGTGGACCTGGTGTTCTGGCGCCCAGTGGATACCACATCGACCAAATGCCTACGCTTTGCGAGATTGCGCTCGCCATCGGATTCACACTGGCGATGTGCCGTTGGCACCGCGCCTGCCATCTGCAGATGGGGGCATCCCCCTGACCGGGGGGTTACCGGAAGTGCCCTTTGCCCAGGGTGACCCCGGCTCTCTCAGCGCGGCCTGGACGGCCCCCCAGGAGCACTCCTCCAGACCCCCATGACCACCCAAGAGGGCCCCACGAGGGGCCCACGACGGACTTCAAGAGGGCCTCCAGAGGGGCAACTCGACCTGACCTTTCGCGCTCTCCGCCCCAGGATGACCCCCGAGACCGCCAGCAAGCCCCCCCCCCTGGGAGGCACCCGAAAGCCACAGGAGGCCGCAAAGAGCACCACATCGGGCTCCGAAAGGCCCCTACGGCGTCCCCGGGAAGCCCCAATTGGCACCCCCAAAGCCGCCTCCCAGAGGATCCCGGGTGACCTCCCCAGAGGCCCGACAGGCATCCAAGCGGCCTCGGGCCTGCAACCTGGGCGCGGTGACGGGATAGGCCGAAAGCCACTGGAGTACCACCGTCGAATCAATCCGTTTGCCAATTGCATGCCCGTGCATGCACATGTCACATGTGCCTTGTCTCAACTCGCAACTCGCAGGGGAAGCGATACACCGACGGATGGAACCGTCAGCCCGCACGCTCGTGCTACTTCCATGCCTACGCGCATGCCTAGCCAACACCGAAGCACAAAGGTAACAGCGGTGACGGGTGAGCAGATGCACGATGCGAAGCGAAGACGTAGCACCAAATCAAACGCGAAACTGAAGCCACAAAGGGATTGGCTGTCCGGATGCCGTTAGCTCCATTTTCCAGCACAGGAAATATCTGGTCCAGCTCGTCGGACGCATTGGAGTGCTCACAGTCCAGGACTAACCTTCTCGCCATGTCCGAAGTGGCCCTGCCCTCACCCGCGTGCGCCTCTTCCAGCCGACAAGCCATACCTCATCGCCTGCAGAACGCTGATGCTCAGATGCCATGGAATGGCAGGAAGCACTGGACGCGTCACGCAGGGAGGCCGGCCCAGACAGACCCTCTGGCTCCTAGAGGACCAGGCAACGGTTTTAGCCAGGCTTCGGCCACGCCGCAGGAAGCTTTGAAAGCTTCGCAGACTTTGCCATCGCATGCCTTCACCTCGCGCGACCTCCGAAGCCTTGCCGACACACAGCAGTCACGATGCCTCCAGCCGCCAGGGCGCATGTGACGTAGGGCGCGTCCCTCTCGGAATGGGGAGTCACTTCCCCCCCACTCTGCCCACTGTACCCCCCCCTCAGCACACACACTCACACTCACACATACAAGCACTTACTGTTGGCGGTCGCGGCCCCGCGCGCGGCGACGAGGCCACGCAAGTCGAACGCGGCGGCCGAAAGCCAGGCCGGCGTGCGCGCGCGCGTGCGGGCCCCGAGGGGGAGCGCACCGGCCGCCGCCCTTAAGGGGACGTCCCAGGAGACCGTTCTTTTGAATCGGCGGTATCCCGGGTTATCCAGGGGGGGGGGGGGCTAACCTTCGCGCCGTGGGCAGCCCTGCATATGCCCGCGCCCCCCCACCCCGGACCTGCAGAACCGGCAAGGTCAGTTGATCCTGGGGGGGGGGAGGGGGGCAAGCCCGATGAGCCGGGTTTTCGCGGGACCCTCAAAGAGAGCAGTCTCCAGAGGAAGGGCGCAGCGCGGACGAGACGGAGAAGCAAGAAGCACAGCGACCGACCAACACGCGAGGCGGCGGCCACACGGCGGGCCGAGGACGGAGGCGGCAGAATGCCACGGGACCGCACCCACACCACCTGCCCACCCCCCGCGGAGGCCTGGGCTGGGCCTGAGGGGCGAGGAGCAGAACGTGACAGACTTGGCGTACGGTTTTGCTGCAGTAAGTGGTCCCAGATAGCCCCAGACTGCCTCCAAGATGGCGCAAGCGGGTCAAAATCCCACCGGCTCTCTTCGCAGAATGGCGAAATGAGACACTGGAAGCTCAAGATCGAACATCGGTCGCCAGACCACTCCCAGAGTCTGAGCGCACCCGTTTTCCGAGCTGCGTCCAGCTGTGGCGACGAGGGGGCCCCCGGAAGGCCAACTACGACACCTCAAGCGGCCCTCCGCTGAACTCTGGACGGAGATACAACCGAAGCAGATATCAAGAAATGTATCATGTCAGAAATCTGGGCCAGCTTTCCGGAAGCTTCTTGAGACAAGCCTGGGCCAAGTGTTCTTGTTAACGCTGGAAAAGCGAAGGGGCTCGAGAAACCGGGCCAGCTGCTCGGCACCTTGGCCACGAGACGATGGCCCATCCTTTCGGGGGGAGGCTCCTGCGACAAAAAATGCTCGGCCGCAGTCCGGCGGGTCGGCTCCTCCAGACCCCACACGCTCCTCCCCTGCGGGGAGGGGCTTGCCCCTCCCCCTGCTCCACGCGGCGACACGTTCCCCCCCTCGCCCGCGGACTGGATTAGGGGAACGAGCAATGACATAAGCATAAAAACTCGGAGGTCCGCGCGGATTTCTCGGATCCGCGGTGGAGCCCCCCGGCGGCGCTTTCGGCGCCGCCCCTGGCGCGCCCCGCGCGCCAGGGAGGGAGGTCCAGCGCCGATCCGAGAAATCCGCGCGGACCTCCGAGTTGTTATGTTGATGCCACTTTGTGTTCCCCCCATGGATGTGCTCTGGCGCGGTCCAGCCGCGACTCCGCCAGGCGACCGAGGCAGCGGGAGCCCTCCCGAGGACGCCCACAGCGGGGCCCAGCGGGCTGCGGCGAGGACCGCCCCCGAGCCACCGGGCCGCGGAGAGTCGCCCGGGATGCTGGCTCCTCCGCCGGGCCAGCAGCGCGCCCGCCGGGCGACCCGCGGGCGCCGTCGCCCGCGCCCCCCTGCAGAAGGACTTTGGACGAAAACTTACAAGTAGTAGAAGAACAATCCAAAGATGTTCAAAAGTGGTGGCAAAATCGTCCCCGGATGATTTGTTTGACCATTTTTGCATCATCCTCCTGTAGAGGGACAGGCCCGACTTCAGCGCAGTGTTGCCAGCTTAAAGCGCACCGTGGAGTCAGGTCTGTGGGCTCGAGGGTGCTCCGCTCGGAGTGTGGCGCCTTGGAGAGAGCTCGGACGGCTCCTCGGCACTCCCGTCTCCCCCGGTTTGGTGAGGGACGTCGCTCTCTCGCCAGCGTATCGACAAGTTCTTGACGGTCACGAGCTGCACGGTATATATGCTACTGGGGTCCGTCAGAGATTCGGCACGCTCGTTTGCCTTAGGTGTGAAATCTATGCCCAGAAACGGGCGAATGAATCGCTGTTTGGGACATTCTACAATGAAATGCATTGTGCGAGGGCCCTCCGCAGATTGCACAAGAGAAAGAGAGAGATCCCGGCGGCAAAGTCTAAGGAGACAGCGAGCATTGCAGAGAAACAAGTGTAACCATGAGTTATGCCAAGGCAAGAACCAACGGAAACACCTCCTTGCCAACGGCGGAAATAAATATCATGCGCAGATGAAATCCCATTTGGGCGGGACCTCGGAGTTGAGTTTTGGGGCCTCTTGCAACTCTCGTGAAGCTTTTTGGCAATGCTCCTGGAACCATGCTTAGGCTCTGCTTGGTCCCCTGTGGAGCTATCCTGGGGCTCTGTTTGGGCGTCTTGGATCCCGGCGGTGCATTCATGGGGCCGTTTTGCGACCTGCGCGACGTCAAGTACAGTGGTCATGCTGGCATGTTCGCGATTCCGAGCTCTCCTGCGGCCATCTTGGGGCCCTCTTGGTGCGCTTTTGGAGGCCCTCATGGGGGCATCCTGGCCCGCCTCAACACAACCCCAAGAACTCCCCAAGCTCTTCCAATGCCGTTGAAAGAAATGCTTGGCGACCAATGTTTAGAAGCCACTTCGAATGATCCTCCCTCCCTCCGACACGTGCTAGAATGCCAATAGGGCCCCCCTCGAAATCCGACGACCCCTTGGGGTCACGGCGTGTGAGATGCTTCCCCCTCCCCAAACCCCTCCCCCAGGAGCCCGGTCCGGCCTGTTTGGAGGGGGGATGGGGGGGTGGGGGGCAAAGGTGTCGGCCGCATCCTTGGAGGCTCAGGGGGCCCCAAAACGGGCCAAGAGGGCTCCAACAGGCCCCCTGGACCGTCCAAGAGGGCTACGAGTCGCCGAAAGATCGCTCCAAGATGACCAAGATCGCCTCCAGGCGGTCCCAGAGGCCCCCAAGACGCCCCGAGAAGCCACCAAGAGGCATCCCAAGAGGCCCTTCAGTCCTTCGGGAAAGCGTGTATTTTTAGCACATTCGCCCCTTGGGCTTTCACGAGGCCCACAACGGCCCAAGAAGCCTTTAAGATCGACCCAAGATAGCCCAAGAGGCCCCCTAAGAGGGCTCCAAGACGGCCAAAGAGGGCCCAAGACGGCCCCAGAAGCTTCCAAAACGACCCAGGATGGCCCCAGGATGGCCCCAAGAGGGGCCCAGAGGGGGCGCCCGAATGAACATGTCGAGCACTCGGCCCCGAGAGGCGCCGACAGGCCGCCAAGAGGCTCCTACGAGGCCCCCGAGAGGCCCAAACGAAGCTTCTAGAGACCTCAAAACGGCTCCCAAGAGGCCTCAAAAGTGCTGCCAGGAGAGCCCGGAGAAGCCCAAGAGCAGAGCGGCGATCCGCCAACCGCCCCCGACGAAATCCCAAGAAGCTGAAACCCCAAGATTCCCAAGAAATCGTTCCGCAAACTCCGTTTTTCACTCTTTCTGCCGCCCCAAGGGGTCGGCGGTGCGGCGTCAGCCAATGAATCAAACGCAGGTTTTCATCTTGCCCCCTCGCCCCAAAAATTCACTATGGATGGACGCGAGTAGCGCGGCCAGCGGGGTCAGCCCACACCCTGCAGCCGCCAGCATCGGCGTCAACACTGAAACCAGGGGCCAACTCGGGGGCGTCGCCGCGTCGCGGGGCAAACGCCTGCGCTTGATCTCGGGGAGGGCTGCGGGCCCCCCCCTCCTTCTGCTCACGCTGGCCCGCACGCATCGCCCTCTCTCCCTCTCTCGGTGCCAGCACTCCTCGCAGAGGGCAGCAGCGTCGCACTCCGAGAGGCCGCAGCCCCTCGTGGCATGTGCCGCGAGCTCGCGCGCCCCACGCCAGGCTGCCTCCCCAGACGGCCCAAAGGTGGCTCCAAGACGGCCCCCTGCGGCCTCAAGAGGGCCCAAGATGGCCTCGCGACGGCCCACGAGGCCCTCGAGGCGTCCCAAGACGGCCCCAAGATCTCTTCCAGCAGGGCCTCGAGGGGCAAAACCATCATGGATGCTCCGAACACTGCCGCATGCTATTGGGGCTCTCACCTCTCGAACATCCAACGTCCCAAGACGGCCCAAGAGGCCCCCGGGAGAACCCGCCGGCCGAAGCGAGCCCCAAGACGGGCCCAGAGACGGTCCGTAAGGGGGCTCCAAGGCGGCCCAAAGATGTGACCAAGCCTGCCCGCAAGAGGGCTCCGAGACGGCCCGAAGAGGGGCCCAAGAGGGCCCCGAACAGGCCAAGAGGACACCCTTGGGCCCTCAAGACACGCCGCAAGACGGCCCAAACGAGTTCCA